TTGTTGCGTTACCAGTGACAGCTGGGGGACAGTGGGGGGCTCGTCCTTGAGTGTGTTCCCGTCGTTTGAGACATTCAAATAGACTCTGTCTCAACTCCATCAGAAGCAGCAGAAGACAGGAAGAGATGGCCAGGGAAGGGGTACAGGGCTGTGCGCTGCCTGGTCCTTGCCAGCTTCTGCTCGCTGTGGAAACCAGTTCCCGTATCCATGACTCGCCATTCTGAGGGTCTGCCTCTGCCCAGGTTTCAGCTGCCCGCTGAGGCAGGGGACACCTCAGCTCATGCCCTCTTCCCTGGAGCCAGGCTGGCATAGGACTGCTGGCTGTACCTGCTCTCTTCCCATTACTAGCCAAGGACAGGACGGCTGGCCAGGCTTGCAAGGGCCCTAACGCTTCCGCTGCTGTGCAGCCTGGGGCCCGTCCTCCTACTTCCCAGTGTCCAGGACAGCAGGTCACACGGCCAAGCCACTGACAGTGGTCTGGGCAGTGTCCTCCTGCCCTGAAGACATCACACGACAGGGGACAGGCCAGGATGCACATGACCTGTCCGTATGTCCGATCGCCTAGCATCCTTGGAGGAACAGGAGGCAGTTGATGGGCACATGTGGCTTGGACCACCCTTGTTGACTGTCTCTGCTGGGTCCTCAAGTGTGGGCTCCACGCTGGGTTCTTGAGAACACCAGAGGAGGTGTCTTTCAGAAAGACCTTCGACCCAGCCTACCTCCTGCTCCAGAATGTTCTTCACTGGAGAGGAAATGAAGATCACATGTCCGGTGGGCCGGGCAGCAGAGACTCCATTCTCTCTTTCTCTGTCAGTATCTCTCTCTCCCTCGTACATGATGCTCCGTTGCAGAGGAAAGCATGCATATCTTTAAATTACAAAAGGTCACCTGCACTTGTCCTTTGGGCAGGCCCCTTTGCCAAGGAGCATCAGGGACTTATCTGGGGGCCTCGTTGCCCCAGCATCATCCCTCCTGGCTCTGGGACCCAAGCCAGCCTCTCTTGTGGGGCCCCCTCTATGTTCATGAAGTGGAGGAGAGAGTACACAGCCCTCACGTGGGGCCCTGGAGCTGAATTAGGTCACTCTCAGCACCTGCGTGGGCAGGTCCCTCAATGACCCACAGGACTCCACGCAGGCCAGGAGCAGCCTCAGTTATGTAATGAAGCCAATCTCTGAGCTGGAAACCCTGGGGTGTGTGGCTGATAGCCTTTGTCCTCTTGTTCTGGGGGTGGGGGGGCAGGGAGTAGAGGTGTGTGAGGGGCCAGGCCTGGAAAGAGAGCTAGCATGAGGACAGAGACCTGGCTAAGATAACCCAGCGCTGCAGGGCCGTACCAGGAACCAGATCCGGGCAGGCAGGCGCCCCAGCCTGGCATGTGCTCAGCGGGAAGGGACAGTGTATGGTGGGGACGGGGATGCCTTCCAGGGGCCTCATGCCTGGGAGCCGGCTTTGGCCCTGCTCCTCTCACTCTCTGGGGGACCCAGGATGCCAGTGATGCTGCATCCTGACCTGGGCTCTGAGAAGAGGCCGGCCCAGGGGCCACATCCAGCTTCATGTGTGGAGCATAGGTGACAGGGCACTGGCCCAGGGCCTTCTGAGAGGACTGAGCTGCCGCGAAAGCGTCTTACCTGCTCCATCCTGTTCTCCTGACCATGGAGGCGCACCCTTGCTTGGGGGGGCTCGTGTGGAAATGGGGATTTGAATTCCTCTTTAGGAGCTCATGGTGTTGGCCACACCGTGGAGCCTTTAATCCAAATGCTTCGTTCTTCTAAGACCCAGCATTTGCTTTTGGAAACGCTTTGCGGCTTTCTAAATCAAATTACACTGGCTCCAGGCTTCTCCACTGACCCTTTCAAAACACATTAGAAGTGACGGTGCGAGAGGTTTAGGGTTGAGAGGACTTGGGGGAGGGGGACCTGGCAGCCTAGCAGCATACCCCGGGGCTGCCCATCCACCCCACCTGGAATCTCGAGGCTAGGGCCAGGAATCTGCGCCTCAACACCACCATAGACCCCATCTGTGGTCACAGTTCTGCCTCCAGGCCAGAGCTCTGTCCTCAGTGCCCCCTCGGCACCCACTCACCCCACTTCAGGGTGTTGGGAGCTATGTGGGCTGATTAGGATTTCAAAGCCACAGGATGGATGGGAGCAGCATGCCTCCTGTCACTCCCAAATCTTTTGACTTCCTGGGGTCTGGTCAGCATGGCTCCCTGGGGATGCAGGAATTTTAAGCCCAGCCCAGAGCTGGCAAGCTCATGAGGTATAACCTTTCCGAGAGAATCTTCTCAGCAGTGTCTAGTGGGGTGCAGGAGGTGACAAGGTTTCAAGTCCTGATGCCAGGTCCTCAAGGGGATGGGAGGTGTCTCCTGTGGGTGGTATAGCCTAGTGGTAAGAAGCTGTGCTGCAGTCCCAAAGGCACTCAGTTCAAATCCACCAGCTGCTTTGGGAGGAAGGTGAGCCAATCCCCTCCCATAGGATTTAGTGCCTCTGAAAACCCACTGGAGAGGCAGCGGTTCTCTTCTGACTTGATGGCACACAGCAACAACAGCCTGCAGGCGAAAGAAGGGTGGCTCAGCCCAGTTCTAGCCTCCAGCTGCCCCCATCACAAACCATCTGGATCCCGCCAGCCCCCTGCAGAACCACAGCCACGCAGCTTTCTGAACTCAGAGTACCTACCAGCTGTAAATCTGATGGGACAAATAAAATTAAATCAGAAGTTCTTGAAAATCAGGAGAGCTTTTTTCCATTTTATCGACCCTTCTGGGGCTAAAACTTCCTGGAATGTCACTCTGGCTCTGGGGTTATTTCCTCTGCATCTCAGCGTTTGTAGTGACAGCCTCTAGGGAAGTAGTGGTGGAGTCTGGGGGTGTCACCCTTCTTTTTGGATGGTGCCTGGCAATGGATCTGTTTCTGAAAGCCTTTGCTGCAAGGTGAGGTGACAGGGAACAAAGACTGTCCCCTTTAGGTAATTCATAGGATTCTCTTTGGAGTGGAAGGATGCTGTTAATAGAATCTCCTTTTACAGATGGAGAAACTGAGGCACTGAGAGGTAACACGCTCACAGCTGGTCCCCAGTGGCAGAGCCAGGGTTTGAACTCGGGCTGCTGGGCGCTGGCCCTCACACACAGCCCTGGCACGTGTCCCTCTGCAACTCATGGGCCAGGAACGCTGGGAGACTCAGTACACCGCGCCTTGCAGTTCGCACTTTTGGGGTTCCTTTATGTCTTTTCCCGCTCACAGCAGCCCACCGACAACGCAGACCTCCCCGAATCAATTGTGCCAGATAAAAAATCTTCGTCCGTGGCTTTGGGGTGGCCTTTGTGGATTGGATGTGAAGTTGTTACAACAGAGACAGTGGTTATTTTGTTTGTGCAGTGGGTAGCTGGTGATTAGGGTAGCCAGGGCTCCAGCCCATGTGTGTTACCGACGGTTCTCGAGCTGGGGAGGCGGAGCCTGTGTAGACCGAGCCCGCCTCCCGCGCCGGCCGCGGGGTGAACCGCCCGCTCCAGGTGCGAAGTGGGACCTGCATTACTAGCCTGCGCTGCGAGGTGGCGCCATTCCCCAACAGTTGGAATTCTCTGACCGCGCGCAGACCGTGGCCTGGCTTTCGTTACCCGAAGAGACAAACTGGGGCGCCCTGTAGGGGCAGGTAGGGCCTCGCACCAGCACCCAGGTCAGGCTCACCTGGCCCTTCCGCAGTCCTGTCCATATAGGAGAGAAGGAAGAGCTCTGGCAGCTGTGGCCTGTCTTGGGCGCACACTAGTGGGGGTGGCTCTCGTCTCCAAGACCACCATGGCCCCGCCTGAAGGAGACGCCCCCGTGGCCTCCCGATGGCCGCGAGGTAGAGTGAAGACCTGGAAAGGGACGGATCTCTGACCTGTCCAGAGAACTGCGCAGACTGGCCGGCCCTAACAGACTGACCAGGTCCTGGTGCTGCTGCCGCCGCCAGGAGCCCACTGTGCAAGGACTCCCGTTGCACCCTGCCCACTGCCCACCCACATGCGCCTGTGTGGGACGCCCGCGCCCGCCCACCCTACACTCCCCGTGGCTTGCGCCCCAGTCCCACGCAAAGCTGCTGCGTGAGCCCCACACCCTGCGTCCCTGCTCACAGGGGCCTGCGCTCCCCCTCCCCCACTCCTGCTGACAACAACCATCGGGCCTCCTCCGCTGGACAAAAACACCCCGCCCTGTGTCCTTTCCAGGAACTGGACACTCCCCACTCTCTGCTTTCCGAGCCAGCCCAGGCTGCGCCCCTGCGTTGGGGGTCTCCATCACCGGCCCAGTCTGGCCTGGAAGTCTCGAGCCAGATCGGACCGCAGGCGTGGCCAGGGCGGAGTGGGCCCTCTTGGGGCAACTTCCACTCCCACAGGGGCCTCTGAGAGGGCCTGCGGGGGCCCCGTGCGTCGCTGCAGCCGGGTCCTGGGGCTGGAGACGTCTGGGGCTGCACAGAGACGAAGGCCAGCGCGGGGCGCCTTGCTCCAGGACTTGGGCTGCGCTCTGCGTCTTTCCGGCCGCCACCTCCCGACTCCGCGGCCCGAGTGTAGCGTGCGCGGCCAGCAGCCAGGGGGCGGCGCGGAGCCGGCGCGGAGCATCCACCCTCCGCTGGGCGGACTCTGCGTCGGCGCCCGTGTCCC